TTCTGACCAAAAACATATATGATGTAAGTTAAGCTCCAGTAACACAATTTTAATAATACTTTTTAAAAAATGAAATATATTTTGATTAAAGAAATAAAATGGTGTAGACGAACAGAAGAATATAAAACTAATAATTCTGGAAATAACACGGTATAATTATTTTGATAAGAGCAAGCAAACTTGCTCCCAACAAGTTTTATCCGAGTAAAATGGCCTATCTACAAAATATTTTTCAGTCCGTAAAAACTTGTGAAGATTGACCAGTTCGGTTACAACTTTGACATATGCTTATAGTCATGCGAACGTTTTCACTCCTGCTAATAGTTCTGTATAGAAAAAACAAGTCGATAAATTTGGTGTAAAGCCGGCTATTTATATACTACATTTCATGTATATTGTTTCGATGATCTGATAATTGTTTTCTCGACTGTGACCAAATGATAATAGCAAGTTAATATTACGTGTTCTAATTCTACAGCTGGAATAAGTTCTTTATTTATGCGACAAAAAAAAAAGAAATACATGACAATCATTTTACATTACAATATAAAAGATATTAAGTCATTTTAGTAACACATTAGCCATGTTTAATCAGCAATATGTTTGACACGATGATGTTCAGCTTTAATATGATGATCGGCGGCTTTAGCTGCTGCTTTGTCCGCTTCAAACTGAGCATCTAAACGTTCACTTGGTTTCACATTTGGATCATTAGCTTTTTCTAATTTTTGGTCAGCTTTTTTGGCATCAACTGCTTCCTTGGCTTTTTCTATGCCTGCTTTTATTGCTTCCATTGTTTTTTTCTAGAATTAAAAATACGATGTACTCTGTGACATTATCTCCATGCACTCACTGATAGCGTAATGTGAATTTGTACTATGCGTGTGCTGTTGTCGATAGAATGAAGAAGAATAAAATATAAGAACGCGACAAAACTCTCTCTTTCTCTCTCTCTTTTTCTCATCTATATCTCTACAAGTCTTTTATTAGACTATAGAAGAACATCGAAAAAAAAATAGGCGAGGCAAATATCTAGGAAAGAAAAAAAGGGAAATGAAAGCTACTATGCAGTCACACGTATTGAATAATAGAAGAAAAAGAAGAAAAAAGGAATTTTCTTATTATCTATCTTCTTTTTTCATAAGACATATAACGCTAAGAATTTTCTAAAATACATAAACACTTACTATATAGTTTCTTTAGGCTTCATTTCACATTAGTCCAGATAATAAATCAAGATTCTCTCATGTAGAAGAGTTGAATAGCTGTTTCTTTTTTTTTTCTCTCACGACGGAACGGTTTCAACTTATCGATCTCTTTTGAATTTGGACTCTGTGTATATGGTAGGATCCAATTAGATATGAAAAAATGTCCAAAGGATAAGTCCTCTTAGATTTTCTGTCTAGAGTTGTATGCATTTGAGTAGGGTTTTAGCCTCTGGCTTGGTGTACATCAACAAACTGAATGACGGTATTTCGATCGGCGATTTTGCTGACACGTTTCACTCATTTGTCATTAGAGTGTCTTGAAAATTTCAGCTCAATAGAATGTTTTCTTTACAAGATATAAAAGCTGCAAAAATTACTTATATTCTATAAAAGATGTGAGAATTTTCTGCTTTTGAAACTTTGGTATATCGGAAGGAAATATTCTACAAACAAATAGATCTGTCTGTAGGCAAAAATCTTAGGTTGAAATACCGTCATGCAATTTGTTGACATATACCAATTTATATTTCACTAGAGTCTACCTTATTCACAGAGTCTGAATTCAAAAGCGATTGATCAATTAAAAAACGTTCTCTCGTGAGTCAAAAGTGATATTCATCAAACTATTAAATATTGTAAGTTAATACTATGTGATATACCATTGTTCCATAAAGGAACTTTTATGTTCGATATATTCTGAGCAGTATATAATTTAGTATTGAAATAGTATCTAATCGTTAACAGAAGAAAAGATTTTCTCTTAGTAATGTGATAAAAAAAATCTAAGATTTAATACTTAGTTATTTGATTGAAGATTTCTTATGTTATATAAAAACTTCTAGGAAAAGTTAATCAGTGATTAACCATCAATCAAAAGAGAACTTTGTGCAATACTTGAAATTCACAATCAAAATAATAAAAACCACTTCAAAAAATTGAATTATTTAAATCCAAACTTAATGTATCTTGGTTGTTTATGTCTTAAGTATACTTAGCCATGTGTGTAGGTTGTTCAGAATCTATTCGATTAATATTATTTCATTGATATAATAAGAGAACTTTATTTTAGTTACTAATACGGTGTTTATTTTTCAGAAATCATTACAAGCTATTTTGAAATTTTATCTTTTTCAAATATCAAAAAAGCAAGTTTGATTCACTTTTTGCAGTGTATAACTTAGACAAAAATTTTTTCTTGATATTCTTAGTGAACAGCAGATGCATGCCATATTCTTTTAATAAGAATTATTAAGCCACATTTTATATATTCAAGATAGAATTAACCCTATCATGACAGAAAAATCGCAATTGCATTCTAGAGAAAGTTACAAAAAACGTTTGTTCTTTTGTTTCACACTTTCTTATGAATATAAGTAGAAAGATTATGCAAATGGAAAAAGTTCGAAGCCTTATTATTGTTATATTCGGCGAAAAAAAATAGTAGCCATTGGGATCTTCTTTCTTATATTTAAGACGTTTAGATGGTTTCTTCAAATATCTATTAACTAGTTTAGTGTGATGATATTTTTATTTTACCTTTAGCGTCATTTAATTCTATCAGATTTGCCAGTATTTCATATGACTCGTTAGATAACTCATGATTTTCTAATGATAATATCCATTTCAAAATGATACTGATTGTTTTTTCTTAATAAGTATCATGATTCGATACTATCAGACAATTATTCGAATCGTGATGAATGTGAATACATCTACCATTCGACAATTTCTCGCAAAAAAATGCTTCTTTTCTTATATGTTAAGAATCTTTTCTAGAATTTTCTATCAATATCAGCAGCATTGTGGTTGTGCGAACAAAGTGCGTGGTCTGCACTTTGATGGATCTATTTGATAAAAGTACTTGCATTAATTATCTACATTAGAACAACTGCAGACCTCGCAAGGAAGATAGCTATCATCAACGCTATATCCTGATTTCTTGAGGGTTTGCTTCTTTCCTGTAGCAATACACTACGAGAACTGCAGCTATATATAAAATATTTACAAATGCACACAGATATTATATACCCTTTGGAAATTATTTACTTAGAGTGCATACATCATGTGCATATATCAGGTTTTTGTATTATACAGTGAGGGGTCAAAAAAGCATGTACATTTTTGTTTTTACGCATAAACAAATAATAAGGATACTTTGAAAATTTTCTCTCATATCGGACTTTGTAGAGCTTTTTTCGCTGATCATTTTGGTAAAAGAATTTTTTGATTTTCATTGAGTAATGACTATGTTATAGTCAAAATGCTAAACACTGTAATACATACTATATCTAATTACAACTAAATATTCTATGAAAATCACACTAAAACCTCACTAAATTCGTTACTTTCCAAATAGTAATTATAGAGTTTTGTTCAGTTTTTTATGCTCTTTCATATGAAAGAGTTGGAATCAGGGTTGCCAGATCGAAAACTCAAAAATCAGAATTTTTTTTTTCAAAATCAGAAATTAATCAGAAAAGTCAGTTTTTGAAAAACCTAGTGGTTATTATGGTATCATGTTGGTACAAGATACTCTATTTAATCGCTGTTCATTAATTCATACTTTATTTTCAAAGATATTTCGCTATAAAAAAGCATAATACAATGAATATACTGTTTAGCTAACAAGGAAAAACTAATGAAGACACGTAGTGCCGAACTCTTTCGCTAAACTCAAAATTCGTTCACAAAAAAAGTACAAAAACAAATCATATATATACGATATAAGTTATAAGATCCTATGAAAGAAAAAACTGATGATTATGTAACATAGATTCGATATTATTGTTCATATTTTCCATTTTTTCGAATTAGCTTTAACAAATGTGTTTGAATTAAAAGATATTTATAAAATTGTTCAGACGAATAATTATGATAAGATTTAATTTCGCTAAAAAAGCTATGATATGATTTAGAAAAGTTCAGAATTCAGGAGAAAACCAGGAAAAATTATCAAAAACAGGAAAAATCAGACGAGAGTGCTAAAATCAGAAAAAATCAGACTGTCAGAAGGAAATCAGAAAGGCATCCAAATTTCAGACACTGTCCTGACTTTTCAGACAATCTGGCAACCCTGGTTGGAATTAAAAAAAAAATCAAAATTTTATTAAATAATTGTTAATTATTATTAATTATTTATTAATTAACTAATTAACTGCAATATAAGTATAAGTGCTTGTTACCAAAATGTAGCCCATTAAATTCTGCGTCGAGTGATATATAGAACATGTTTCAGATGTTGTGAAATAACGTAAAAATTAGCCAAATACTAAAAGTGTGCTAAACTTTTTTCCCTACTTTATATTAGTGTTTAATATTTTGACTATAACATCGTCATTACTCAATGAAAATCAAAAAACTTTTTTACCAAAATGATCAGCGAAAAAAGCTCTACAAAGTCCGATATGAGAAAAAATTTTCAGAGTATCCTTATTATTTGTTTATGCGTAAAAACAAAAATGTACATGGTTTTTTGACCCCTCACTGTATCACTAACGTATAGTAAAATGAATCATCAGTCTGTTCGTCATGCATGTTGTTAACTGTGTCGTTTACATTATCTTTAGTGTGTATTATTTATAGCCTTGTTTGAATCCAATGATTATAAAATAGCAACGGGCTTTTATCAAATACACCTCTACAATCCATTTAGGACGATCAATCATGATAGGTTTACTAGCGGAGTCTGGTATTTCTTTTTCTTTTTTGTTTTCGTTGTTTTCTTCATCGTTTTGTCACTAGAAAATGGTTACAAAATAGTATTATTTCTCATTCTTTGCGTCGTACACCAAAATGTCAACTATTGCATACATATTTGTAGTGTTTTCGACTGTTATCATTGCCAATACGGAATTAGTATGTCCTGGTTATGGATTCGTTTTTCCAAAACCGCCATGCATTGCTAAATGTTCACCTACAAAGGATCACTGTAGAGCTGGCAAGAAATGTTGTTATACACCTCTAAGACCATGTGGATATCGTTGTCTTGTTGGCAAAGATAATGTAGCCAAAAATGGTACATGTCCACCACCAAGTTCTAATCAAACCAATTCGAAATGGGATCTGTGTGATTTCCATGATTGTGATGTTGACAATGATTGCCAATATGATGATAAGTGTTGTCTTAACAAGTGTGGTGCATCGATGTGCATTAGCCCCCAATAGAACATATCCAAAATGAACTGATTCATCTCTATTAGTCATCATCAAACGGAGGTTGTTTTCGCTTTAATACTTTGTAGCGCTCTGATTTATAATGATTAATCCTTTTCTTTTTTTTTCATTCGAAAAAATAAAAACAAAAAAAGCTGTCACCGAACAGAGTAAACCTATCAAAGATATTGTCTGAAATATTTTATAGTTTTTATCCAATAAAACCCTAGAATTTCATCGTAATTCTCAAGACAGTATTTATCAGTGGAACTAAAGCGTGTTCGAGTAAGATAGTGAACAAGACTAAGAATTGTTTCGTCAATATGACTTTATCTATCAATGTACATACATTGTTTTTCCGAACATTTCACATTTCTTCCACTTAAATCTTGTTGGACAAAAGGGACTTTGATTCTGTTTTTTTCTCAAAATTTTTGTCTATTTATTGTGAAATTTCGAACATGAATATTTGATAGATAACAAAAATATTGATAAATGTTAACTGTCATTAACTACATGCAACAAAGCATAAAGAGTATCGTCCCATTGGAATCACTTATAGTTTTACCAAGTTTCTCTAATATATCGATCGATTAATTTTAGAAAGAATCCAAAGCACAAAAGACGAATATGTTCTTCGACTAAATGAGGCATTCCTATTTTTTCGCAAAAAAATTGCTTAGACAGAAACGCGAGAAAATTTAAATATGGTTTTTTAAATATGCAGATGGTGCTACTTTTGATCGTCTGCCGTCAGTTGTAAAGTTTATGAAAATATCATTATATAGTTATACATGTAAAACTCAAAGACTTATTACAAGTTTTAAACTTCGTCGAATTTTAAAATTTACCAGTTTTAGAAATTTACAATTCGAGTGTTCGAATTTAGAACTATTGCAATTTGGATAGTTTATAATTCGAAGAAGTCCGAAGCTCGAAACACCTCTTCAAGTTTATTATGTATGGCTAATCCCTTCCCTGAGGTGTGAAAGCAATCGAAGACGAGCGCTCGCACACAGAATCCATGACACGAAATGCAGGCATCACGAAACTCGAAAAAGCAGGGAAGCATACCAAATTCACACACCAAGTGTGGGCGTCGCGGAACCGACAACTTCACAGCAACAAGTATGTCTTCGGCTTCACATCAAAATATGCGAATACTCTAACAAGACTCAATTGAAAACGAGCTGGAGCAGGGCGCACACCTCAACACTCGAGTAGTTTAAAATTCGAGTACTCGAATCGTAAATTTCTTGTTAAAACTTGTAGAGAATTAACGATTTCTATACTACTGCATGAGAAACGTTTTGTCAAACAAACTAAAAAAGAAAAAATTGTGTATTCTCTACTTGACTTTAACATACGATTACAATCTGATGTAAACAACTGAAGAAGATATATTTGCTAAATGAAGTATAATATTTCGTGGAAAGTTTCGAGCGTTATCTTTTGACAAAAAAAATCTGTTAATCAAACACATAATAGAAGAGAAGTTTTGAAAATATTACGAGAATAATTATTTATGGCTCACCCTTTACTGATAATCTTATCTGAACTTTTCGATTAGTATCAGCAAGATCATTATTGTACGAACAAAGCGCTTTGTCAGCAGTTTGATAGATCTATTAGATATAAGGACTTCTATTAAATAGATTCATTCGAATAACTTTGTTTGAAAAGTTTACATGTACACACAGATATTATTAGCATCTTCAATATTACTTGATTGTACTTTCTTTCGTTGCAGTACAATTGATCAGTGCTGGCTAGGACTAATCTGTGATTAGAAGTTACTCAAAAAAGACATTTTAAAATTTTTTTGTTTGAAAATATAACTACAAACATTTTTCTATAAAAGACTATGCCAGAATCAACCGAAACTAGCATGTGTATTGAAAATTAGGAGTCTTCAAGAAAAATGCGTCTCAATCTCAAAATTTTAATGAATTTAAAATCTAATTATTTAATAATTGGATCAGTACTTGACGAATGTTTTTCATTGCACAGGTATTACTATTGAGGATATTCTCTACAAATTGACAAAGTTTGATGGTATGTCAAGTTTATAAAAAGCGCGTTCTCCCTCTGTTTTTGTATCATGCAAGTCATCATTTACTTATGGTGTCTGCAAAGGTGTCCCGAGGTCGCCAAGATTGGGGAGGGGGGGGGGGGGGGGGGGGGGGGGAAAAACATCTAGAAAGCTGATTCACAACTTTTCCTAAAAGAGACCTGATTTGGGGGGATCGAGACTATTTTGAGATTTAGTGAGCAAAAAAAAACGAAAAAATGTTGAAATTTTGCTGAAAAAAAAAAAAATTTTTCAACATTGGGAGGTCACCCTCCCACCCCGCTGGTCGGGACACCCCTGAGTGTCTGCTGTTAACCGGAACATTTTATCTATATTTAGTGTGTATTATTTACAGCTTTATTTGAATCTGATTATTATAATATAGCAACATTCTTTCATCAAATACAGCTCTACCAGCGCAATAAGAAAGTCGAGAATGACAAGTTTCACTGGCTGGGCTATATTATTATATTTTTGTTTTGTTATTGTTGTTTTCTTCATTCTTTTGTCATTATAAAATGCTTATGTAAGTAGTGTTATACCTCATTTTTTTCGTTTTATACTAATATGTCACTTATTGCATACATTTTCGTAGTGTTGTCGATTGTCACCATTGCCAATACAGAATTAGTGTGTCCCGGCTATGGATTCATTCGTCCACAACAACCATGTGTTGATGAATGCTCACCTGAAAATGATCATTGTGATGTCGGCAAGAAATGTTGTTATACTCCTCTAGAACCATGTGGATATCATTGTCTTGTTGGCAAAGATAATGTAGCCAAAAAGGGTAAATGTCCATTGCCAAGTTCTAAGCAAAATCATCAGTATTGGAACTTATGTGATGGTCATTTTTGTGATGTTGACAATGATTGCCCACGCAAGCAAAAGTGCTGTCCTAACAAGTGTGGTACACCATTGTGTATTAAACCAAAATAGAACAGATTCAAAATGAACTCATTGATCTCTTTTAGCCATTACCACACGATTGTGTGTTTGTGTTTTGCTTTGAAGCTGTATGATGTATAACGCTCTAATCTTTTTGTCCACATTCGAACAATAAAAATAAAAACATTTTTGTCATTCAACAGAGTAAATCTACTGAAGAAAATGCTTGAAGTGGTTTATGATTTTCATTCAATAAAATTCTAGAATTTAGTCACAGTTCTCAAATAGCATTTATCAGTGGAACTAAAGTGTGTTGAAATCAGATGCTAAACCAGACTATGCATTGTTAGGTCAATATGACTTTATCTATCAATGTACTTACATTGTTTTTCCGAGCATTTCACATTTCTTCCACTTAAGTTTTGTTGGACAAAAAGGACTTTGATTCTGTTTTTTTCTCAAAATTTTTGTCTATCTATTGTGAAATTTCGAGCATGATTATTTGATAAACAAAATATTGAGGAATGTTATATGTGATGTATAATGTCAACTGTCATTAACGCGATGTGACAATGTATGGCGACTATCATATTCATTTGAATAATGTATAGATTTACTAAGCTTTTATGACATATTCATCAATTAATTTTAGAAATGAATTCGAAAGACAAAATATGAAATATGTTCTTCAACTAAATTAGCCATTTCGATTTTTGACAGACTAAATAATTTCTTGAAGACTAATACGAGAGAATTTTCATAGGATTTTGTAAAAATAAAGATCGTGCTACTGTTCATCGTCTGTTGTCAGTTGTAACATGTATGAAAAAATCATTATGTATTGGTGTGAATGGAAATAGTGCTACGACGACGAACAATCGAGATTCTAAATATGTTTCCTCGCATCCAGAAAGTTTCTTAAGGCTTGGGAACAATTGTACTTCCTCAGACTTTGTAAGCGAAGAATGCTCTATAAAACAGACGAAAACAAAGAAGTTTCTTTCAACTTCTTCTACTTTTACTCTCAACAATACCCTCTCATTCAAATACTAATAAAAACACACTATCGGAAATGATTACGCAAGACTTTATTACATTCTTGTCAAATAGACTAATAAAAATAAATTTCGAATCCATAAGTGTCATTATATTATTCACCTTTGGTTATGTGAGCTAGATAACTGCCGATACAAATTCATATCGAATTATACATAAACATAATACAATACAAGTAATTTCCTGAAGAATATCCAAGTAAGAAAATAATGTAAAGACAAGATTATATTCATCATGTTGTCAATATTAATAAAAAGACTAGATAGAATGCATATAGGAATCTTTCTATATTCTTCATCTTCGACAATGTACAACGAATATACAAGAAAAATAAAGAAAAAATTAAAAGAATTAAATATTTATAGCTATTGTATATATATATATGTAAAGCATAAATTTGCTAATCTAAAAGTAGTGTAAGAAATTGTTGTCAACTGGAATGTTTATTTATCTTAGGTTCAGCATCGCTTTGTAAACGCCTAATTGTTCAACCATATTCTTCTGTTGAAAATTATGGCCGATTTCACGGAAAGTCATTGATCGAATATAGGATCCATGTTCGAAAATAAGAGTAGCGATGTCGGCAATATAAAAGATTCGTTACTAGCCTTCTTGTCTATCGAAGTTATCTATCTTACTGATGCTGAAAGTAAGAACACCATAATATGCACCAATTCATGCAATATTAAAGTATATTATAGTCATAGGGCACGACAATTTACAGCTTTTGTACCAACTTGACAGATAAAAACCGGTGTGTAAAAATACATGATACCACACAATGAATCTATACATTTTTGATCATATTTTTTGTGACCTAGGAAGAGATCAGCTTTGGTAGTACCTAGTATACGTTGGCAAGCAAGAAGACTGCCATAAGAATTCGCAGATATTCATAAAACTTATGACAGTTCACCATGTGATCATGATTACGTGTACCGATCGACTTGGTAGAAGTCTGTTCAGAATTAGATTCGATGAAGTTTCAAAAAGATGC